GGCTCATCTCGGCAGCATACTCTGACTCTCGCCAGCCAGCTGTGTGGAGGTGCCCACGGAGGCGCAGGTTCAAGGAGAATATAGTAGAAGCCCCAAAGTTGGAAACCTTATAGCCTCAACCCTTAAGAGTAATGTATAGGGAATCTCAGCACCAATTGTCCTTATTCCGGTTTCCAACTTTTTGGGCTTCTACTGTAGGCATGTCAAGGCTTCTCTGGCCGTGCCTTGTGTCGGGCATCATCTCCAACAAAGAACCCGGAGACTCCAACATCCCTTAATTAAGGAATATGCCTTAAATCCTATTAGGGTTCCTATTCTAATTTAAGGTATATTCCTTAATTAAGGGATTTTGGAGTCTCTGGGAAAGCTGCGTGAAAAGCGCGGTCGCCTGCGGTTGGGCTGATTCTGGGAATCGGGACTTGGCTCGATCCACGAAGCCGGTACCCGACTCCATGAGTTGCCGACAGAGAGAGTCCGGGCAGGGTAAAACTTTCCAGCCCCCAGAGACTCCAATATCCCTTAATTAAGGATTTTTCCTTAAATTATCATAGGAACCCTAATAAGGTTTAAGGCATATCCCTTAATTAAGGGGTATTGGAGTCTCCGGGGCTCTCATCCCTGGAAAGCATCCGGACAACTTTGTGCACAGTGCGCAGCGCAGGACTCACGTCAACATTCAACTGTCTCAGATCCACAACCTAAACTTGATACCAACGCCCAAAGTCAAGTGATCACCGTCATACACAACAGCAACGCAATCTCCCCCATTTCAGCGTGTTGACCAGACAAAGCGTGAAGAAGTGAAGTCACGGCCAGATTCCCTGGCACCATGGCAGTTACTAGGGAAAACATTTAAGCATATTCATAGCATGGGGCAGTTTCAGAGTAATGGATAAGGGGAGAGTAACATTCATGCGGTCAAGCAACATTCGCAACAATGACTGCAAGACCCACTTCCTAAGCCCCGAACAATTACGATAGTAATCAAGCTTGGGTCCTGCAAGCACTATACTGGCAGCAGTCCACCACGTCTATCTGCAGAAACTGCCTGGATTGTTCCCGTCAGGAGAGAGCACAAGACGCTGCTCGAAGCGTTCTTTACGGTTTGGCTTTACTACACCTGCCCCCTGAAGCTTCTGGTGTACTGTTCAGTGGGGCCAGGGACTGTAATGCAACACAAATCAGCACAAAGCATATGGCCGTCAGCGGATACAGTGCAATGACAACTCAAATGGGTTTAAGGTTTCGGAAGTTTGGGGTTTATTTGGGGTTTAGGCTTCTGGAAATAAGGTTTCGGAAGTTTTGGGGTTTAGGGAGTAGGATCGCTTCTGGAAAAGCTAAGTGTTGTGTGGATGCACTCGCTTGGGACAATCCAGGGTGCCCAGCAGACAGAACAAACACAACAGCCATGCAACACACAGGAACCGAGAACTCTCTTGAATCCCAGCAGCAATGCCAAGCTCACCTGCAAATTAAAGTATGATCTGCAGTCTCAGTCCACTTCGTGATACATCAAGCCGATGTTGTCGAAGCAGGGATCCAATCTAGCAGTGGCAAAGGCCTGTCACAAATGCAGCCTCTTCAGCTCCATACCCTTCACTTGCAGGGGCCCAAAGATCTGCGAGGCAGGAATGTCGACCTCCTGCCGGCGAAGAATATCCATAAATCTTAAGGGCTCGCGGCTTGGGACTCATACTACCCACACAGTTGCCATTGTACTGAAGCTGGGTGTTATCGCAATGTGTGCAAGAGGACAAGATTGACAAGCCTATTGAAGGTTTTGCGTTTGTCCGCTGCTCACTGCGCGGGTGTCAATGCGGTACAAGTTGACAAATAAGAAACGGAGAGTCTAGAATCTCGGGGCGAGAATCCCAGTGATCTAATTCCCAAGTGGAACCCTGAATGACCTGTCCGTTATACAATTTTCTGCATGCTTGAGTAGGACGAGTAGGAAATTCATCAATCCCTACTGGCCGAAACCACTTGAGTCCGCGAACTCCATTCTCCCTAGCGCTGGCCCGAGTCTCTCTGAGAATCCTCAATCCTAAGAATTGCTGACCATACTACAACTGCCACTGCGACTGCTACACTGCCACACTGCTGCTGCTGCTGCAGCACCACCACCACCACCACCACGACTACTACTACTACTACTACTACTACCACTACGTACTTCTGCCACTGCTGCTACACTCTTGCTTCTCTTTTTGCTGCCACCAGACCAGGACCTGCGCCACTTTCAGAAAAATCGAGAGAGCCGAACCCCAAGTTCCTCAAACAAGCTTGGCATCAGAGAAAGCTGGCTGTAGCCTCGCCGAAGCCCAAGGCCCCAAAACCTTCGAAGCCACCCATGTCCTGTGGGAATGCAGACCCATCAGCGATCGCGGAGTCTTTTCCTTTGTCTTCCTTCTCTGGAAGGTGCTCCTCCTGCTCATGGGGCTGAGGAGAAAGATCTGGTGGAACAGCAATAATCCATATGCTCGCTTATGCTCACGGTCATCATGGTCACCATGGCATCAAAAAGACTGGTTGAAAGGCTGGCAGCGGGGCACCACTGACTAAAATCGGGTCCTTGGGGTAAATAAAGATACATGAAAGAGATGGGGGAATACTTTTGCTAAATATTGGCGATCTATCTAAATTAAGGTGCCACGGACACACGCAGCAGAATCGAGGAGCTCACAGCAGTGCGACTAGGCAAAGAGAGTTGTGACAAGAAGTGTTGAAATCATAGCGTGGGTTCGAGTCGAAAATCAACAGCTCACACTGTCGCCAGATATATCAGGCTCTCCGCCGACCTTGCATGCGCCAGGATGCTGTAAAAGCGAATTGCAGATCCGAACGCCCAATTTCCATACGTCCGGAAACATACCTCATAATCAGGCTTACGGTCTGGGGAAGTTCAGTAAATGTGGAAACCTAAAACTTTCATGGAAACCGTAAATCTTAACGCAAGGAACCCGTTGTGTTGCATCTGGACTCTGGACAACTGCAATGCAAGAAAGTCGGAAGCTCGAATCAAGCAGCGCTACATACTAGCAGGCTTGCCGACCATCCCAATGAAATGAGTATCAACCCAATGTAGGGCTCCAAATAATTAAACGAAAATATCCTGGGGGCTCCTTGTTATAATCATAGTATAACATACCCCCAAAACCTATTCTACTGACGAAGGCCTCTACATCAATTGGAAAAAAAGGCCCCATCCTGACAACCTGTGGATCCCTGAATGCTCCTCGGGTGTTCTGAGCTGGGCAAGCCGGTTCTCCTGACAAAAAATCGGGGGCCTCATGGGCTCTATATAGGGCTTAGGGTTTATAGGGATTGGGGTTTTGGGATTCTGGGGGTTGTCCGGGGTTTAGGGTGTAGGGTTTTAGGGTTTAGGGTTTAGGGTTATAGGATTTTAGGGCTTTAGGGCTTAGGGTTATAGGGTTTTGGCTCTCACAACTCGGACATGCCAGGCGAGGTTCGTAGGTACGAGTCGGTGTGAAACAGGGCAAAGAAGTACAAGTACCCATGCCTGTAGGGATTAGGGTTTTGGGATTCTGGGGTTGCCCGTGTCTGCGGCAGAATGCTGTGATACAAGGGTGACGATTGGAGTCCTCATGGCTTTCGCAATATTTACCTATGGTGCTTCATGTCAACATCGCCCTTCTCGCTGTCATTGAGTTTCGCAAGTATGCATGAAGTCTTTGACTTTGCGTTCTTTTTCACAGCTCCATCTAGTTGTCATGTTGATGGTGTTGGCGACAATGATGCTGCCACCTTCGAACAGTCCTGCCCCAAACGACTGCTAAAAGGAGCCGCAAGGTGGCTTTGGCCAAACGTAGACCCTCACTCACAGAGTAAGGACATGTTCTTTCGCAGGTTGACTAGGCGCAATTTTTTTGACGGCCGCCTCCATGCGCTTATCGGGGTTTGGGCCTACACAGGACAAGAAATTGTACCAGAGACGTCCGGTCCGTCACCTTGCAATCATCTTGCGACTACAAACGAGGGGCTGCATCTCTGTGGTATCGACTGCGAGCGCGACCCCACAACTTCCATCTGCTGAAAGATTATTTATGCAAGGGCTTACTCCGTCGGGCCTGGATCCGACGTAGCTTTCCCAGCTCCGAGCGGGTCTTTGAACGCAGCTTTTGCAGCTCCTGCTCAAGGCTCAAGGGGAAAGCGAGGGCGGAAGTCGACGAATGGCGGTCGAAGGGTATGACCCTAACCCCCCAGGTACCTACTATATAGGGTACTAGAGCCCCTAGGGCCCTATATCGTAGGTACTTGGGGGGTTAGGGTTACGGAAGGTTTTTATTTACGCTCTCACAACCCGGCCAAGCCGGGGGAGGTTCAATAGGTTCGAGTCGTCGTGATGGTGGAATGAATCAACCCTTCGTTGTTTTTTGGTTATAGTTCCTGATTATAGGGGCTTGGTGAGCATTGTCATAGGATGCATCTTGGCGTCTTGTTTGCTAGAGAGTTTGGGTATATACTTGTTTACAAAATCACACGAACTACGATCCTTACATTGAGTCCTGTTTTGTCTATCGTGTTCAGAACCAGAGCGGAACTCGATGACACAACTCTCGCAATGCTGAAAGTTCCAAAAGTCTCCACAGCATCAGAAGCTGACACTATGCGGCAAACACGTCCTCAGCCAAAGCCCCAAAGAACTCTGTCAACCAGGCGAAGGGATCAAGCTACACCTTAAGCTACGATGTGGAACTTACTTGCAGGACAAATCAAACTTCTGCTGATCCTCAGTATGGGTTGCCACGTTGACTTCATGTCCGTCGGTGTGTCCGGTAGGCTGCGGTGCCTTCATCTTCCCATTCAGGCCATAATACCATAAGAGGGTTTAGGGCTTAGGGTTTAGGGCCATAAGTTCGACCGCTTATCAAGTCTTACGATGCCAGCAACATCGCAATGACAAGCACATAGCTTGTTGGACGCAGCTCAGCCCACTTTTTATTGGATGCGCATTGTCTCAAAATGACACGAGCGAAACGCTACGCTATGCGTTGCTTCTTCGACCCTTCACCGTATCTGGAGTAGTCCACGCAGCGGCAATTCTTCATGCCGCACTTCCGGCAGAACTCCCCTTTCATGGCTAACATCATGCGCTTGTCACCCTCCGACTGCTCTTCGGACCAGTCTAAGATCTTCGTGGGCTGGTTGTTCGAATATGCACGATCTACCAGCGAGGTCTTCGCCGCATCTGCTGATATCTTGTCCTGGTACTCTAGAAGGGCCTTCTGGGAGTCTGTGTCTGTGACGCGAGTGTTGTTCAAGTGCAGCGTCTGCGCGCCAGCCTTGATGGCCAAGGCAGCAAAGTCGCCGAACTTTTGATCTGGCATCTTCGTTCCCGCCTCGTCAGGCCTTGTTGGCGTCATGTTCTTGTTCACCTTTCGAGCTTCTCCTCGCCGAATTTTATACATGTCGCCATGCCCTGTCTGGTAGAAGCGCTGCATTTCTGCCGGGTCTGTCATGTTGAAGATTGGACCGGAACCCTGTCCATCTTCTTCGATGCTACTGTACACGGACTTGGTCTTGGCCTTTCGTCCCACGAAGTGAAGCGCACCTTTCCTGGAAGAGAAAGGGCTGTAGAGCATGAACACTTCGCCAACGGTTGTGGTCACGACGAGCTGGTTCAAGTCTTTCTGCCACACCACCCGGAGCGGCGACTTCTTGCCGAAGTCCAGGCTCTTCACTAAACCAAAGGTCTTCACATCGTAGAGTCGCAGGGTTGCGGAGCCTAAAGCCCCCTTGGCAAGGGAAGTGCCCGTCACCAAGTAGCGCCCGTCTGGCGACGTGCAGATGCCGGTCTTCTCGTGTGCTGTTCGCAAATCATCGAAGACCTTCACAGGGCCCTTGGCATCTGAGAGCATCCGGCAGTCCCAGACTTTCATGGAGTTGTCCAGTGACCGAGTCACAAGGAGGTTGCTCTCGCTGCCCTCCGGTATGAAGCCCACGTCTGTGAGAGGTTCTGTGTGGGCACTTCGGAGGATCCTGTCCGGTCGCATGAAGCGTGCCTTGTCAAAGAAGAGCTGAACCGACCCGTCACTGCAACCACCGACAATCTTCTTCGCATCGGTGGGCGAGTAGACACAGCACGTAGGGTAAAGGCCTCCCGTTTTTCCAGATCCTCCGCCCACGCAAACATTTCGACGGTCCACCGTCTTGAGCACGTGGATGGAGGGTAATTCTTGGTCCATGCCAACAGGATCTGCAGTCATGTCCCACATCCGCATAGTGCCATCCAGAGAGGCTGTCAGAAACAACTCGCTCCTGAAGGGGTGCCACATGCCCGAAGTCAGAACCTGTGTATGGCCTTTAGTGTGCTCCATCTGACGGACGTACATGTCACCCTGAACTGTCTGCTGGATGGGCTTGGTGGAGCCATCACGGTCGTAGATGCGGGCATGGATGTCTGCATTGACCATCAAGACCTTGGAGCTTTTGAGAGGGAAAAGACGAAAATGGATATGCACCTATATATATATATGAGCCCGATAC